TGAGCCACCCTGCACTTCCTAGTTTTGCTCCAAGAGCTGAAGCCACTTGCCTGTGGTTTTAATGTCACTCAACAATGGCACTGGAAATGAAATGTAGACTGCCCTGACTCTGAAGCCAGTGTCATTTTGGTTAGCTAGCCATGACATCTTGTCTTGGCTGGCTCGTGTATCCTGATCCAGCCTGCACCCATTGTAGGGAATGACATTCACTCTGGTCTAACCAGCGATGTCACTGTGGGACCTAAGGAAAGATTTACATTGGCAGAGTGGGGCATTTTGGAACGAGTATTTAATTGGCAGTATAAATAGCAGCTGGGGACTAAGGAGGTCTTATACCATGGCTATGTAGTTTCTTCTCTTTGTGACTTGGACAAAGTATCTTAATTCAAAAGTTAAGAAACTTTTAAGGCCTTGGGATCCAGAACTGCAAAATACCCGTGACTGTGATTTTAAAAGGTCAGATGCAATGTGGGGTCTAACGTGTAGTCTCAGTGTGAGCCCAAGTGGGCGTGTTGCTACCTAGAGTTTGTACTTACAGGACTAGTAGAGGAGCCAGTCCTTCACATTTGCAGATTGTAGTTGTGAAAAGGACAGTCATTCAACAAAAAAAAAAAAAAAAAATGTCTCTGAGAAGAGGAATTTTCAACAGTGAAGACTAGGAGGGTTGCATTTTGCTGCTAGGACAGTCGATCATTTTCTGTATATCAAAATAACAAGATAAAGGAGAGAGCTTTCTTGCCCCCAGGGGACAAAGAGGATTTCTGATAAGAAAAAAAGTATAGAACCTTTGCTATGAAACTTCGGCATCCAGAATCTTCATCTACCCTTGCTATATCTTATGTAACAGTGTGTTTAATGTATTTTGCAAAGAGGAACTTTTTATCCAGCCTTGATTCTTCACCCTTATCCCAGGGCAAGTTTGCCCATTGTTGTGATAAAACACCATGAGGAAAGGCAATTATTTTAGCTTATGGTTTCAGAGGGTAAGAGTCCATCACAGTGGGAGGTTGGCAACAAGACCAGGAAGCTGAGAGCTTGCAACCTCACTGCAGGCATGAAGAAAGTGAACTGGAAGTAGAAGGATTGACACCCTCACAGGCCACCCCTGGGGTCACAGGTCTGCAGCAAGACCACACCTCCTGAGCCTCTGCAGACAGCACCGCCGACTGGGGTTCAGGGTCCAGAGGCCTAGACTGTGGAAACTACGCTCATCCAACCCACCACACATGCCCTCCTCTGTCTCCAGATGAAAAGTTCAGGGTCACTAATGCTGGCCAGGCATCAGTAGCTTAGGTATGGACTCATAAACAGGAAATTTAGTACAGTTATCCAAGAGAAATATGATACAAAGGTTTCTGTTGAGCTTTTTTTTTAAAAAGTGTTCACTTTGGAGTTGCTTTTTTTTCCTTTTCTTTTTTAAACTTAAGCATACACCAAAGTTCCCTACACATTCATTGGAATGCAATGTCAAGGGCAATAAAATTATGCAAGTTTCTTTTGTAAGTTTTAATCTTACACGATCATTCAATTGCTCCTTCTTGCACCTTTGAGTAAGATGAAAGAACTACAGAGCAGCAGAGCTAGTGGTAAAACTAACCAGAGCCCTTAACTCTTGGGTCAGAACCAGGAAGGACTAAGGCAAGAGGCCTGAGCTCTCAGCAGCTCCACTATCCGAAACATCTGTTTCTGTATTTGGCTCAATTCCACGGCTTTTTTTTTATTTGTAAAATTGTTCCCATCTTTGAAAACACTTTAAAAAATAAAGAAGTCCCCATTCTGTCTCCTCTTTCCACTCCCCAGCACATGCATTTGTAATTACCTGGTTTAGTCTGTGTGTTTAATCAGTTTAAATTGAGAAGTTTCGTACATCTGATTTCAATCTGAAGGAGCCATTGAGTACTGGGCAGTTACCACCCCAGAGCCTGCCAAAACATGCCTCTGCCAAAACACGCTAGGACTCACACCAGGGTATTTCCTAAAGACTCCACTTGACTCAGATTAGATGTTTAATTTCCTTAAAATATTGTTTTGGATTTGGGTCTCTGTTCCCTAATTGGGATTTTCTGATGTAATTTAGGAATATCGCTTATTTGCTGAGTGGGTTCCAGGACCCAGCTGGCAATCTTCTGAAAGCTAAATCTCGCAGAAGTAAAAGTAAACTTGACTCTGAGCGCAAAGCATCGTACCTCTAGCTTTGAAGGCTGGGCCAGGCCTACACTTATTGACAATTTCATGGAAAAATCATCCATGCAATGCAGTGGAGTTAAGTTTGGGAGAGGAAGGCTTCCAGTTGTGATGGTCAGAGTTTGTGCATCTTTTGAGATTTTCTCTTCCCTTTTTGTTCTTTGGAGAATGGCTCTTTGAGATCCCATTAAAGCAGTACAGGACTGGCCTTAGCCAGTGATGGCATTACAGATGTAAACTACCCTGTCTGGATTCTTTGGATGTTCATCTTAATTTAATTGAACTAGAAAAAAATTAAGTTGTAGTACTGATTATCCATTGTAGATTTGTTTTAATAGCAGTCCCATATTAACTAAGTTTGTAGTTTGAGATCATAGACTCTGCTTTGTTTTCCTTACTAGCACTGGAATTTCTGAATGGGCAAGAATTTAAGTAAAAAAAAAAATGTGTGCCTGTGTGTGTGTATCAGAGGACACTGTTCCCGAGTGGAGTTCCATCTTCCACCTGATTGAAGCAGAGTCCCTCTCATTTCTGGGGCTGCAGTGAATTGTACAGGATAGCCAGCCTTTGAGCATCTGGGTTGCCACAACATCTACACATTCACGTGTGTTCTGTATTGAACTCAGGTCAATAGGCTTACACAGACCCCAGTTTTATCTATTGAGAAATCTCCTTGGTCTTCTCTGTGGGTTTGAAACCAAAGTTCTTCAAGTTCCTAGCCTCTGGCCCTTGAAAGGCTCCAGGAGTCCCTTGTTAGTAGATAATGTAATTCCTGAAAAGCCCTATATGTTCTGCATAGTGAGAAGGCTTTGCTTGTCAGGGAAATGGTCTGACATTCTAGCTGAGTGTTTTTAATAGGCTCATGAGCCCATCTCCAAACCTGAACATAATGAAAGCACTATAAATGCAGAGAACACAGTGAGGAACCTTGCAATATGTCGGTAGTTATTTTTAAATGTGTTTTAATTGTGATGTAATGAAAACTGTATACTGATTGGGTTATTAGATGATAGCTAAAAATCTGTTTTGCAAGAAAATAATCAAAGCCATTGACAGGAGCTCAGGATGTAACTGAATGGGAGAACACTTGGTTACCATGTGGGAGACCCTGGTTCTATCCCAGGCACTGCAGGACATGAAAGCTTATTGGTGCAATGCTACAGCTACCTGACACAGCACTTCACGGTGGAGTTTGTCTACCTAAGGAACTAGAAACACATTTTTCCCTTGAGATGAACATTTCAATATGGCTTTCTGAGGTGCCGTCTCTCCTGCTGGAAGCATGCCTAAGAGTATTGTCATAGTCGGTCTCCACCCCTTTGCCCTTGATCCTGGTAGATCGGCTCCAAACAGGTGTGCTTGCTTCTCTCGGACATCTGTGCTCTGATTCATGAGGAATTTATCATAGCATGGGAATCTCAGAGGCAGCCTCATTTCTGCTTTTCTCCTGTCTTGTAAGATGCTACATAAAGCTGGCAGCTTTCCAGGGTCAGGCTTTTCTTCCAGTGTCAATTGAGTCGCCGGTCCCCTCGTTCCTTCTGACTTCCCAGAGCTAGCGCTACCAACTGGGAAATGCTGTATCCAAGTAGAGCTGTTATTCGCCAAGTCTTAGGATTTCTCATATTTCAAGACTAAATTAGGCATCAACTCATATGTTCATTTCACAAGTATTTTTTGAGCATCTTATTCCTGTCAGGCTAAGAAGCATTTATAATAGATAAATAAACCAGAGATTCCCTTCAGGTTGCTGAGGTCAAGAGTGGCATCTAAGATTAAACTCGCATTTGGTTGTTGGCATACTAAATGGATACTATGAAAGAGCTACATCTCCAGAGAGCTCACACTACTGTGCCACACCCTGTGTGGGCTGAGATGGAGCCGGGACAGAACGCCTCCTCTCTCTCTCCGTTCACTGAGTCCAATCCCATGGTCCTGTCGATGCTACCTGATGCCGTTAGTATCCATCCAGAAGGAGAAAGCCTCTCCCCAGAGTAGTGTATTCATACCCAGCCATTACAATATTGGTGGGAGAAGGGCAAAAAAAGTTGGGAAATAGAGGTTGGAGTTAGGATAGGGCAGATCATTTATTACATGTGAAAATCCAGGAAGAAGGATCTTCAGCCACTTTCACCAAAGTCATAGTCATTGCTGAAACCGAATTGAGAAAACTCTATGTGGCAGATACTGGGAATGTTTCCCCGTGCTTGGAAGTGCATGTGACCACATGTGACCTCATGGGACAAGGGCACTGTTTGTGAAGAAGCGCTAGGAGGGTATATTGAGGGGTGGTCCGTGTACTAACAGTGAAGACCGAGTCAGGAGGGTGACCGGTCTCTCGAGATAGAACAGGGAGGTAGCAGTAATGTGAACAAAATGATGAGTCGCCAGCAGTCAAAGGCCCTGGTAGGAAGCAGATAGTCCATCCAGAACAGCCTGCAGAGGCCAGGGCTGGGCTTTGTGTCCCAGTGCCCTCTCGTGAGGGTGGGTTACCCGGAGCAGTGGCCTGTTGGTGAGGAACACAGCACTGGCCCACACTGCTGCCCGCTCCTCCTACTCTCAGGCTTCAGTCCCAGGAGCCTCCTTGGGGGGCTGGGAGTTCTGGCCAGGAGGAGGGTAGCAGGTTGCAGAGTCAGGACAGAGTTAATCTGTGGTGCACTTGAAGTTCAGCCTGGGTGAGATCCTCTCTGAGGTTAGACCAAGTCGGAAGCCTTCAGAGTTGTCCATATGTCTTGGTAGTTCTTGAAGCTATGGGAACAGTAATTAGTGGATTTTTACCTTCCTGAAACATTCACCTGGTGTCTCTCCTCCTTCTTCAGAGTTGCTGGAACTGTGGCCGGAAAGCAAGCGAGACCTGCAGCGGCTGTAACACAGCCCGATACTGTGGCTCTTTTTGCCAGCATAAGGACTGGGAGAAGCACCACCACATCTGTGGACAGACCCTGCAGGCCCCACAGCAGGGAGACACGCCTGCAGTCAGCTCCTCAGTCACACCCAGCAGTGGGGCTGGGAGCCCGATGGACACACCACCAGCAGCCACTCCGAGGTCGACCACCCCGGGAACCCCTTCCACCATAGAGACGACGCCTCGCTAGACCTAAACTCAGACAGATGGAGGAAAGACACCACAACCAACACAAAAGCAATTCCTCATCCTCAGATGCGCAAAGTCGTTTTTCTATTTGTTTGTTTATAGATGAACTATCTATCTTATTTCAGTACTTTCAGCAAGAGAGAACCTAACTGTATCTTTGAGGCGGTAGTAAACACAGAGGGCCAGTAACGGGTCTTAATGACTTACTGTGGATAACAAAGATAATTTTTAGAGAACTGAAAAGAGGAAAGAATATAACGTGAAATGCTAGATTTGACCTCCTCCCTGTTATTTTCAAGTAGCTGGGATTTTAAACTAGATGACCTCATTAACCAATGCTTTACCAAACAGCAAACCAAGAGATTGCTAATTGCTGTTGAAAGCAAAAATGCTAATATTAAAAGTCACAGTGTTCTTTATATACAATAATGGAAAAAAAAAGAGGCAATCCCTCAAGGGCATGAGCGTTGGACACAGCAGTAGACATTTTAACAAGAAGATGAATGGCGTCTGTGGGTTGCTAACTGAACTTTGAAGACCCGCTACAAAACGCGCAGATGTGCAGCAGATTGGAAGGAGACACAGATGTTCGGTTTTTTTTCCTGTTTCTGAGAGAAATAATAATATCCAGGTCAACAGAATGAAAAATGAAAGATGATTTCCAGTGGGATGTATGACTACAGCAGCAAGAAAAAAAATGCCATAATACAAAGCCTCTTTTTTATATATATAGACACACACACATACACACACACACACACACACACACACACACACACAAGACTCAGCCTGCAGTTAATTAGCATTCTGGCAGCTTCCAGCTCAGCCAGCTGCCCTAAATAACCCTTCAACATTTCTTCACTTTTGCAAGGTTCCACAGAGTAAGACATTGGGTCTATTCCAGCTCATTCATTTTATATTGAAAACTAATTTTAAAAAAATGGTGGCTCCAGCTCCAGCCCCTTTCCAAAATTTTTCAACCCCACCCTGTTTGAATTTTTAATTAAAATCTAGTAGTTCTCTTGGTGTTAAAACACTTCTGTCCTGTGAGGTTTCCCAATGGTGTTTTTCTTGTAAATGTGTTGGACAAATGTGAAGATGCATTGTAGTTTATCCATATGCCCACATTTAGTCTCTTTCTTCCTAGTTGGTGAGAAACCTGTATCTTTCTATGCTGCTTTTATAGCTGTATGTATTAGTGATATTTCTCTAGTAGTTAAAAAAGAAAAGAAAAGAAAAAAAAGAACCTTTTTTTGGTTGTCCTCAAGAAAAGAAAAGAAAAGAAAAGAAGAAAAAGCTATCTTTTGGAGCTGCTAACTCACTCTCTTATAGGATTTTTTTCCTGGAAACCAGCATGCTTCATGGAATGCTAGCATATGGGTGTTTTGTAAGAGGGATGTACATAAATGTATTTTGCACTGTCACAATGACTCCCTAGGCATGCTTTTTTTTTTCAGACAAAACTTTTTAAATATGCTAGAGCCATTTCACCGATTTTAGCTGTAGCATAGAGTAGTAGTGGAATTTTTCTTTCTTTTTTTTATGAAAAAAATTATTAGGAACCTTTTTTAAAAAAATAAAATAACAAGATATCCTACTTTTTAAAAAAAAGGACAGTGCATGCATATTGCTGTAAGGTTGTTTAAGTATTTCTAATTTTACAGAAAATAAAATCATTAGAGCTCCAAATGCTGAGGTGTAGATTGACAGCTTTAACCCTGCTGAGTGCCAGGTTATACAGTATTGGGAAGTCAGCCAAAGACTGATCTGATGGACCAAAACCGGAATCTTGAAAAGCACCAGGAATACTTTCCAAATGATCAGCAGGTTAGACATGTTCAGTGTGAATCCATTAACCCTTCGTTGTCCAGGGTCCAGACCAGAACTACGTGTTAGTTTTGAAACACAATAGCCCAGGATGTGGTTGTGTGCTTTAAGAGTCGGCAGTGCTGCAGGCTGTGTAGACAACCAAAGTTGACAAGGCTGGGAAGACACTGCTCCACATACACATACGCCAGGCATTTCTTTACATATTGAGTACAATCCATTAGCTTGTGGGAGGGGGGTTGATGTAGCCCTTGGATACAGTTTTAAGTGGCTCTTACATTGTCTGCGTAGAGGCGATCCTCATGGGTTTGCTTTATGTCTCCAAAATTTAAGGTTTTTCTTACAGCATTTCCCCTGTATTTTCATATACCAGTTGGTTTTAATTTTGTTCAGGTGGTGTTGTGTTCTTTTTGTTCTTTAATGGCCTTTTCGTTTGGGAAGTTCTGATGAGCAAGTAAACACATCTCTCTATCTGCATGTTGGAAGTCCATCTGCAGCCCACCTGCTGAAGTGAGGCACAAAGCACATAACCAGGCTCTGAATGGGCTCTAGTTTACCATGGTGCTCCCAGAATCCTGTGACCTCATTCTGCTTTCTAGTCTGCTTGTGACACTGGACAGTCCTTTCTTAGAGCTGTTATATGTTCTAGGCTACGAAGGGTTAAATAATCCCCAAAATGAGGTATGTCATACCCACACGTCTTGAGCTTGAGAAGCCGTGATGTATGTGGAACAGCACTGTTATTCTTAACACTAGTGTGTAAAATAAGGATTAGTACAGTACGTCTCATTACTTTTTAATTCAGGGCACCCTGAGTGAAAACAAATACAAAAAAAAAATCCCTAACTCTGAGCTCTATCTCTAATTCCTCTTCCTCCTTCCCCTCTTCCTCTTCCTCTTCCTCTCCTCCTGTTTTGCTACATTCTCCTCAGTGGCAAAAAGTTTCACTCTACCTCTGACAGCATGTATATTGCACCAGTAGCTAACAAAAACTGGTCTAGTCAAACCAAATGGGCACAAAAGAACCAGGATACCAAAAGTTAAGCTCATACAGCTGCAAACCATATCACTTCTTGGTAACAATGCAGACCTCATAAACCTAAAAAAGAGAAAGAAAAGAAAACTTTTGTTACTTTCCTTTTTTGCTTGTCACTTATATACAGGCTATGTGAGAGTATTAATTTGTAGGTATTACACATTAAAAAAAGTTATCTTCATTGGATAGAATTGAATGGTGGTCGCTGATAGGAATAGGGCGTCCTCTATCTCTTATCTCTGTCTCTTTTCTCTTTACTCTTTCTCTTTTTCTCTGTCATGAGACTGTGTGTGACAGGGTCACCTGTCTTTTTGATTTGTTTCTTAACTTCTTTTGTTTTTTCGTTTTTGTTTTTTTAATGTGTAGGTGCATGTCTTCGGGATTTAAAAATTTCAAGGCTGGTTTACTTATGCAAAGCATGCCTATGTCTGGGATACTTAGGGAAAGAAAGCGACTCCATGTTGTCCGAATTCCTCAAGGGACAGAAAAAAAGAATTGGAGACTGTTGAAATGCAGATTTGAAGTAATTTTATTTTAATTATTTTGGGTTCTGCGACATTATTGTGAAAAATTAAAGTTGTTGTGCAATACTTAATTCAGACATGTACCACAAGTTAACGGTAGACTAACACTGGGGGGCGGGGGCTAGGCATCATGCTTTTGTCAGCATACTCTTGAGCTTTTAAGTCTACTATGTCTGAACTGTGGTTTCTTGTTTATTCTTTTTTTTTCCTTAGTTGGACTGTAATGTATGGTCTGTCAACCTGTGAATCTTTCAAGTATGATTCAGGTATTGTTGTATTCTTTACTGTGTAATAAAAATACTTAAAAAAAAAGTCTGTATGCTGTCTCCTTCACTGTTTGCCAAAGCTACCACTCAGGGACCTTATCCTGGGAAGTCAGTCCTTCATTGAACATGCCTACAGTCTACTCAGCTGCAGAGCTTGTTAACTCACATGAGTTAGCTCATTCATGGGTGATGATGACAGAATGTTTCTGAGGTTTCAGCAGTCAAGTATAGAAGGATATTTGAGTCTTCCATAGAAAAGCATAGCTTAGTCTAGGGGTCATCTCCAGACAGGTTCATTCTCATCTCCTGAGCCTCTGGTTCTCAGCAGGTTGTGCCAAGAACAGCTTCAGGACACATCCCCTGAGGCAGACCACCTCCATTCTCTAGCAGCAGATGCTTGTTTTGGTATATTGGTAATACACAGTATGGTCTGTCCAACTTGTTTCCGAAACCCATTAAAATGTGTATCCATGCACTGGTTATAAATAGTTTAGAATTTGGAGAGCCAGTCTTGTACCCTAGGAACCCAATCAATTTTCATGTAATTTTCCCAACACATTTTTTTAAAGGAATGTATATACTACCTTGTAGCAGAATTTCCCATTTGCTTGGAAGATTGTCACTATGAGCTAAAAACCAGTTTAAAGAAATTAGGTGAAATGTATATGTAAGGCTTGAGTCTGGAGAGATGTCACATAGGTGCTGGTGAATGGAGGGTGACCTAGGACCTCCTGTTCAGTTTCCATTGTATGCCAATTGGGTCCCTATCCCGATCCTGAGACCTGGCTTCTCCAACTGATCTAGAGAAATGCGTCTAATTTTACAAGGGTATAGGGAGAACGTGTAAAAGCATAGATAATTGCTTTTTTACCCCTATAACTTGAATAGGCTGAATATTTAATTTTGTAGTTAATTTTTTTCCTACAAAAAATCAAACCAGCCTGGCTCAACTTGCCTTTCCTTATTTGTACAAATATGTTTTCTTTCTCTCTTCAAAGTGGAACAGACCAGAAACCAGAAGAAGTGGAGAACAGAACTGAGACCCCTTGAAGTAACCCCTTTATAAACAGTCCTTGGAAACAGCTCTCGGACATATTTGTACTACAGGATGTGCTGGACTAATGGGAAATGGGCTTAGTTTAGATGAAGGATGTGAGTAAAATCCAGTAGCTTCTGTGGGTGAGCATCATTTTTGAAGGAATGTTATTGATGTATTTGAAAATTTTAAAACTGTGTTTGCCATGAAAAGAACACCAGGCTATTTCCCCAGAATGGGAGGGGAAGAAAGAGGTGCTTTTCTGTATAGGTGTTTATATCTTTATTCCAAGGTGAATAAATAAAGTTGTACTTACCTCAACTTGTCCTTGGTGAGTCTATTCTCAGCCACACTAGAGAAACTGAGTCAGGCAAAAGCAGGAACTGTATTTTCCATAAAACCTCTCCTTCTATACAGTCAGGGATCAAAGACCAAAATTGTTTCTCCTTTCCTTCTGGAACTTTCTGACTTAAATAAGCATTTTTTGAAAACATTACCCAGTCTACATATGGGAAATCTATGGGGATTTCTTAAGGTCACTAAACTTGACTTCTTGTAATTAACATACCAGTTGAATGGGCGGAAAACTTCAAGTTGATTTGAGAAGGAATACCCACGTTTAGTTCTACACTGCACTGTCAAGAAAGAGTGAGCTATCACATTGTAAGTCACAACAAACTCAATGTTCGTGTATCAGTGAAAACTAGGAAGACGAGAGCCAAGTTACCCCATTGGAATGTGGGACAATGGGAGAACACAGAGCAGCCTGAATCAGAGGGTGTACCTGCATAAATCAACAGCAAATGGAGCCCTTTTCAGGACCTAATACGAGGTCAGGCACCCAATTAGCACTCAATAAATATTAATTGTCAATACAACTGTGGTGAGTCTACTGCTGAAGTAACGTGGTGCCATTTTCTCAGAAATAAGCCAGTTGGTTATGGGAAAAGGAAACAGGAAGGCAGCAATTTAATCACCTGACAAAGGGACTGTAAGAGGCAGATTAAGCTCTTGACTCTAGCCAGGTACAGGCATGACCACTGTTGACAAATACCAGAATCTATAAACACCAAAGTGGGAAAGTCTTTGTCACAAGGCCGTACATAGCTACCAGTGACAAACACATGTTTAATTGTGGTAGGTCTTTGTTCATTTATCCATGTAAAGCTTCACTAGTGAGACGTTAGAAATACTTAGAGATTCGTGCACGTACAGTCCCAACAGAGGTCTAGTGGGGACCTCACAGCCTCTGTCTGCCACACAGGGCTTTGTAGCTTTTCAGTTTCCACATTCAGCTTAGACACCTTGCACTTCCTTAGACACCTTGAGTCCCTGTAACTCCCCTTAAGTCTCCCATCTCCTCTCCCATATCCACTCTACAAAAACAAAATCTTGATATTTTCCTTTACTTGGGTATTTCCCCCATCAGGCCATGCCTGCCTTCTTACTAAAAATCCCTTGAACGTTCTTGTATGAACCACCTTGGAAGTGAAAGAAAGGAGTCCCTTCCCCTTCCCCCCTCCCCCAGTAATCATGTGTTGAGGACTGGGATGGCAACATATATACAACCACGTTACTACCATGACAGTACTTTTTATAATGTGGTCCAGAAACATTGGAGCTTATATATTTTTTCTTCAATGAAAAGCTGTTTTCAAATTTTGTGGAGATGATGCTATCCCTTTGGATTTCTTGCTTTCCCACATACTCTGGCGTTTTCCACTGTTCAAATGATTCCTGAGAGATCACCACAGTTGCCACTTAGTTTTCTGGACATGGGAAGAAAGCACGGCTTCTTTTCTATTTTCTTTCTTTGAAATGGCTACCAGTGTAGTTCAGAGCTTTTGTTTGTTTTATTGAGACAGAGTTTCAATAGCTTTGGAGCCTGTCCTGGAACTCACTCTGCAGACCAGGCTGGCCTCAAATTCATAGAGATCTGCCTGCCTCTGTCTCCCCAGTGCTGGGATTAAAGGTGTGCCATGTATACACGTGTCAAAATATCACACTTTGTATTAATTATATATTAACGTACAATTTTGTATTTTATGCTTCAATTCAAAGAATATCTTTAATTAAAAATCAATAAAAACTAACAAAAGAATTCGAAGAGCAAAGCAATTTTCCGACAGTAAAGATCATTTCAGGACTAGAAGAAACTTTGTTGTCAACTAGTGCCTTCTCTGTGCAGTTCTACCTAGTTTTATTAAGATTGTCTGGCTATTGATAGAGGTAAATTGGACTCTCCTAATATAAGTTTGTGGACTAGCACAGTCTCTATGTTACTGGGGTTTCTGTTCTATCATTATAGAAAAATAAACAAGTGTTACATAGCCGTTTTCTTCACAATTAAAACTTTCCCTGTTGGGGGGACATCAAAACACAAGGTTTTATTAAGGAGGAAAAACAGGATGTTCTAAGCAGTGGTTCTCAACCTCTGGGTTGCAGCCCCATTGGGAGTCACATATCAGGTATCCTGCATATCAAAGATTTACATTATGATTCATAAGAGTAGCAAAATTACACTTTTGAAGTAGCAACAAAACAATTTTATGGTTGTGGATCACCACAATATGAGGAACTAAATGGTGGCAGCACTAGGAAGGTTGACAACCACTGTTCTAAAGGGAAGTAAAGTATTCCATCCTTTAGAGAAGTTCCTTAAGCTCAGGAAGTTAACTACTCAAAGGCTCCAGGAAGTTCCCGTAGCTTATCAGACTTAATAGGTCCCTCCTTCCCCAAGGTTATATAAGCAGTAAGGACAGCAGAGAGACACTCAGAACGCTGAGCTGCCTAGTAGCTCTAACTAGTTCAACTTCCTGAAAGAATCAGAGACCAGCATATGGAAACCAACTGGACTACTGGGAGTCTCCAATTTGTTGAGCTACTTGGAGGCTGTGCTGTGTTTTCTAGGTTTCCATCTTTTGTCAACTGTCATCCATGCTGAGGTGAATTTGGATGATTCGTCTCCATCATGTCTGCTCCTGTAAGTAATCCCTTACCCATATTAACTCTTTGGTTCACTAAGTTGAACCTTGGTGGTATCCTCTGGTCTGTTGATGGTTCCCTATCTGGGATGAATAGATATTTGTTATGTCTCCCTGGGAACCATAATTAGGCAATCCAGTAGTTGTTGATAAATGTAAAAGGAAATAGAGCATGCCAAGGGACTAAGTAACCATAGGTTTACAAGTGGCATTAATTTAACCTCAGAGGCAGACCATTCCAAGGAACTGACATTTAAGAAGAAACCTGGAAGTTGTAGAACAGGACACATGGACCTCTGAGGAAAACAATTTGCATGCCATATAGAGGAAGCAAGCCTTAAGCCTTTTAAGACTGAGACAGACTAGAAAGTTTGAGGAACTATTGATAGTATCTTTAAGAAAGATCATTGTCTGTATGGGCCAACCAAGGCAAGCTATAGGTTCTGCTCATAGGCCATCAGGATATCTTTGTGTGCTATGAGAGACATGCAGCTTCATTTAAGAGCCACTGATGGTGACAGTATATCCTTGTTTATACTCTTGTATTTATTTGGGACCTAAAGCAAGCTGACTGAAAACTTGGGACAGGTGATGGTAAGCATGGAGAAGAGGGCAGTAGCTGTCAAGCTTTGTAAGTCAGTTCAATGAGTCTCTTTCTCATTGACTGTGGGCCCAGTACATGCTTCAGGGAAGGCTGACCGGAGGAGCAACAAAAGAATAAGGAAAACAGGACACACAGGAAGAGGGAATCAAAAAAGAGACCTTCCTGTCAGAGGCCACTCCTGAAGAAGACACAGATGACAGAAGCATACCTGGGGAGAATACAGCTCTGAACTCTGCTGAGACTGAAGTACAATAGGGCTCTCCTCAGATGAGGGAGAGTTTTACAGAAATAACCTCTCATAGGAGGACCAAGATGGCTTGATGCTCTTCCTGTGTGTGAAAAGCAAAGGAACAAATTGATACCCCTCTGCTTAGGGTTGAAAATAGGTCAGGATTGTGTTTGGAAAGGAAAAAGCCCTCCATGTTTCTGACTAATCTTTCTGCAAGCTCCTTTTACATCACATCAACTGCTATTTAAAACCTGTCTTCTAAAGGTGTGATAAGAGATGGAGCCTAGAAAAAAATCAACAACAGCCTTTCGGTGTTCCACTTAGTACAATCGCAGGTTTTGCTGACAAAGTCACAGACAGTAAATTAAGGCAAGCAACTACCCTTTTGGATGGTAATACACTCTTTTTTTTTGTCTGTTAGCAAGGACTGGAAAATACAGTAAAGACTATTTTGCTATTTTAGTACTTAATTAATATGCTCTCTATAAAGGAGATATAACCTACTAATTGCCATTGAGCGTTATGGGATTGAGTTCAACATAACATACAGACTTACATGTGTACACATATACAAACATAAATATATGCTTATAATGCATATTCCTTACTCTATGTGTATTGATATCAGTTGTGGTCCACCTGATGTCATGAAATGTTCTTATAATGTTATCTGAATTAATTACTTAGCTCCATCCTTTATGGTTCTGACTCAAAATCACTAAGTTGGACAGCAATGTGCTCAAAGAGCTTTGAGGCTGATATCCCAGAGCTGGAGTGGACATTACTCGGAAGTGCTGCATCCTAAGCACTAACTGGTATGTAAGTAACTCAGCAGTTTTTAAACCACACTCACTGGAACTCTGAATTAGAAGTCATTAACAGACACCCCATGGGGAAAAAATTGAAAAGCACTCAGTGACTACCATATGGATAATGTTATAATTTACATCCCCGTAAGGATCTCAAAAGTCTAGCACTAGAATAATCAGCGAGTTCTGTGCAGCTGACACCTCACACGTGTTTGAACACATTCATAGGCACTTCTTCACAGGCACATCTACCATAAACTTCCCTTTCCGCTCTATCACAATTATTATAATTAGAAGCTCACACAGGACTGAATATTACCAGTCCTTCTCCCCATGTTTCAGAAAGCACATTGAGGTCTGCTCCAGACCACCCCAAACTTCCTTTATGTAACAAACCAGTTTTCTCCAAGATAGCATTCCAAAGAGATATTTAAAAACCAAACAGCAATAACAAAATCATATATGCCACTGACAGCTTAATTGTCCCATGAATGATTCAGGCTGTGAGAAGAAAACAACTTAGATGGGTAACTTATGAGCAACAGAAATCAGTTGCCCATGGTTCTTGCAACTGTGAAGTCCAAGACCAAGAGCCAAGTCCAGTGTCTGGTGAGTCCTCACCTGATAGTAGAGGGGCCTTTTACATGCCTTCATATGACAGAAGAAGCCATCAGCCTGTGTTCTTCTTCTTTTCT